AACCATCTGGATTTTCCTATAGCTGGTCATAGCTGGTGATGGCATGCGGATGAGTTATCGTGAGGACAAAACACATCTGCGTTTTCCATGCTCTCAGCAACTCATAATGCCTCTCTTCAATACCTATTCAGTAATCATGTAAAACAAAATTCTCCATTCAATACAAACTTCTATTGCACGCATATATATTTTAAAATACTCTGAGAAATTATGTAGAAAGCCCTTTGACCCAAAGACCGATGTAATTTCCTTTCAGTGATTAAACTCATTACCAATACATACATTTTAAAAAATGTGATTCTTTAACATTTCCGCTGAAGCAATCAACAATAGTTTTTGAACATTGTAATTGTGCTTGTCACAATTTAATTGTTTTATGAAATGTTTAATTATACAGTCAAATATAAGACTTTCTGCAAAAAACTGTTACATTATATGTCCATTGGAAATTAAACATGGTTGTAGAAACTACATTACAATTTTACATTTAAATATTATTTAGACTTTTACGTTCAAAAGTTTTTACATATCTCTTTAGTGTATTTTAATATGTATGTACATTTCAATTCAATATCTTGTTTAGTTCATATTTATATACTTTGTGGTTTGAAATTTGTATTTCTACCACAAGAAGACCCTGCCATTTAAATGTGGAATTTCCACCACAATCTCTGGGCTGCTAATATAAATAATGTATTGCTCCATTGCTCATTTTAGTAGGGGTGTACTCTGACTTGATCCTCTGCAATAGAGATTTGTTGTCTCAATAGAGCTATCACTCAATTTAAATTATGTTATGGAAGGAACAAATATTGAACAAACCTTAAAATGGCCTCATGATTTGATTAATATGTTTCAATACATGGCATCTTCATTTGAAGTGTTATCAGGTTTGATTTAACATTAAGTAAGGATCCATAACATCCCGATTTTGTGTAAGTATGCATATGTCTGTCTAGGCACCGAGTTTAGCAATACATGGAAACCCTCTTTATATAAAACGTATCAACATGTTTCACAGCTGATAGGTGCAAATTCCCACTACTGATAAAATTGTGGGCACAATTATAAATAATTACGATTAAAACAAAATACATTTAAAGATTTGTTTTTAACTATAAGCGTTAATATAAAGCACGTTCTTATCGATGTTTACATTGACAAATTGAATCATTGTTAAATTACATGCACAGGAATGCATTATATTGAGTGTGATGTCACCTCAAATTTTCTGGTCGAAAAATGGAAATGTTTTCAAGAACATTGTTTTACTTCATGTGAAACATTTGAAATCCGCTGTTTGTGTCTCAATCATAGCTGTGCACCTGGTAGTTAACCTAATAAATCAGTCATTGTGATTCCAAATAAGTCAAACCATTTCCAAGTTTGTCTCGCCAAGAGGTGACCCGTTGCTGGTGAGACTGGCCACGAGGCTATTCTGTTTTTTTGTCACTATCATTACCAGTAATGCACTCTCAATTTCACTTGTGAGAGCATGCACACCAGTTGCTGCCAAGCGTGTGACAGGATCACATTCTGAACCATCGTTTTGGTTTCCTTGGGTGTTGGGTTTTTTTTAACAATAAAAACTTGATGACAATTTGAGCTCTGTTATGGTAGTGTCTTGCATGTCTACATCGTTTAATTTTCCGCGTAATTTTTTTTATGTATTGCTTACTTCATACTGTTTTGTTGTGTTTGTAAAATGTCTTGTGACGACATTTTATTACGAAGGGCATGATACTGAATGAAGGTGTATTGATCAAATAAGGTGCGGTCGTATTTAGACACTATATAATTTCGAATAGTTTTTGTTGGCGATGTGAAGGAATAACTGTAATTCAACAGTTACTGCTTGTTTCTACATTCATGTAGGCACTATAGTGACACAGATTGTCGAGAATTTGTTTTACGATGGTTTACATCTCCATTGCATTACAATTGTGTTATGGGCATCGTGTCAGGAAAGGAATTAATTTCCATTCGGAATTTTCACATCATGTCAGATAATGGCCCCAAAAAGATAACTACTTTGATTTTATTTTCAATTGTATCATTGGGAAATCAATGGAATTTCCATTTATGAGCGTTCCAAGTATGAGAATAACCCTGACATTGTTTCCCAAAAGCTGAAATTGAAAAACCCAGATTCATGACATTTTTTTCTCAGACCATCTACTCACTAAACTCGAGATTATGGTTTCAATACAGGTATTTATGTGTATGTTGAATTTCTTTTGCACCATATGTAGCCAACCGTGCTAATCGGAGGTGCCTCCAAGCCAGACAACCCAGACACAAACCCATGACCTCAGCAGCATCAGCTCATCACTCCTACATAGGCATCATCCCCCTGAGATACAAAGCCACCTCGAGACACAGTCAGACTCTATTTCAGAATGATCTTGCTGCTGGAGAAGCAAAAGGAAAAAAGAGTGGGTGTGTCACAACTGCACCAGTTTCCCCAGTAGCCACATCCATAAGGGTGTAGGCTTTACAAAAACATCAAAGGAAGCCAATGCCACGCCAATCTAAATGCCCCTTAGATTGCATTTCCAGGCGCCGTGTTTGCTCTAACCTACTGCATGTGGCGGGCCTCATTTCCAAAGGGACCGCAATACATGAGTATAAAACGCAGTACAGTAGTGCAAGCTAATTAACAACAAATAACTTCTTACTCGGTTTCCAGTCATTTTATCCCCAGCTGGATATAAACATATTTTAATATAGGAAGAAAACACACTCTTACATACAAAAGACAAAGTGATTTCCCATGTAGACTTTAACATACTGTTTGGACAAGTGCAGTTAGAGAGCAACCTATCAAGGCCGGCACGGCACACAAGTTAATGTGTGTCCAGATGTAAGCTTGGCTGCCTTTGTATCCCCGGTACTGATGTTAGATACGGAATCAAGTACTTGTTGACGGAAAAGTCAAATACATTGTTCCACCGATGTTGTGCAATCGAACACTGGAACAAAGAGTGCAGCATTCTAAGCACTGCAGCGCTACTCTCCACAAGGAAATTGAAGACAAAACTAACACGACAACCTCCATAGGCTGTTCGGAGAAGTGCACTTTAGCGAGCACCCACTAAGGTCAGAATGGCCCCGAAATGGTTATTATGGCCAGCACCACGCCAAGCCACCTTTGTCTCTGCAGTGCTCATGTTTACAAACTGTGCCAGGCACTCATTTAAAGCTGAGTCAACCTGGATATCACTTGTTACTTACTGATGTTTAGCCATGGCTGGGAATCGAACTCAGCTCACCGGGTTTGTCAAGCAATAACTCGCACACATGCACATACACACATACACACAATTTGTGAACAAAGCCAGGCAATTCCCATGAGGCATCTCTGAATATCAATGCTTATTCTCAAGGCACCAAGTGCGTCAGGACCTGTCATGCTCATCAAAACGCCCCTCTCTCTATGCGTTTCATCATTGTCTCCCCCATCTATGCTGCCTTCAAATTTGTAAAAACGCTGCCTCTCTTATCACAGGTCTCGCTGTTTAATAATGTATGGGACAGCCTGGTAACTCTGGAGGATCGTTATGGCCGTGTCACAGGACTGAGCCCAGTACAGATGAAATCATGGGGGTTTGAGTCCAGATTTCAACCACCCTGCGTTGATGGTTTGAGCTCAGTCACCCATGAATGAATATGGGAAACAACATATGTACAATGATTCCAATCATTAATTACACCCATCTTTTATGGCAAAGAAGTTAGACAAAATCTGGAAGCGTGACATAACAAAGAACTCCTTGCAAAGTACAAAGGAACCTTGTCTGGTGTTGGTTAAGAAGTGACTCCAAAATGATTCATGTGACATAATCCTCCAGAGCATTTCTCTGCCATGCAAAGTGATGCTCTGGGAAATAATGGAGTTCCAGAAGGACATCTTATAATATGAACCCACGAGCACAATTCAGATATACTAGGCTCTATAATCCATATATATACGTATATAAAATATTAATAAGTGAACCACCACACAAATGAGTAACATTTAAATGCAATGACTCTTAATGAGCTAGGTGTGACTGCCCAGTGAAATCCATGATCTCTTGAGAAGCATTGCATGCCTTTATATAATAATCACAATAATAATTATTATATCCATTGCAATGTATTTACAAGGGCAATAGCAGGTTGGGGATGGTGTGGATGGTGCATTGTCCAGTCTCCTTAATAATTAAATTCACATCTGGGTCTGTTTCATGCCCTCCTACCAGCAAAGCTTTCCGGCAGGGGCCAGGTGTACCTAGCATGGTAAACAATGTGGTTACATCATTGCCACTTAGGGATGAATGGCATCTGCTATTATATTGTGCGGAGACAGTGATACACTGGTTCATTTACTGCACTAGGGTGTTGACATTCGATTTTTTACCCTCTTTTTGGCCTCAGTTTTAGATGAGTGTCTGGCACTGTTTGTAAGCACATTTATATTTCTAATTCGTATTTTCAATCGGACAGCTGCTCTTGACTTTCCCTGAGTTTTACTCATCTGATTGACCCTGGAGGAATAATGGGGTGAGTTGATCCCTGACTATAATTTAAAAATGTCAACTTCCATCTGCTCCAACTGCCTCAAACTCTATTTAACCGTTTTTTCATTCCGATGGTATACGTGTATGTTATCAGTTTTTTTTTTATACAATTACTTTATCGGTTACATTTTCAGGTCAGAAGACGTACGGAGGCTCCCAGAAGGCTATCACAGAGTACGGTTGTGTTGCTACGGTTCTCTGCGGTAAGTGCAACGTCTTTAAAAAAAAAGCGGCGCTACTACAGCTCTATAAATAAAATTTACGCTAATAACCGCTCGCGCATCCCGAGATTCAGCGGTTGAACGGGACATCCAACCCCGCAACTTGCAGACGTCTCGGAATGGGAAAGCGTTAACAACGGTAACAATGATGACAACTGCGGCTCAAGGTGGTGTGACCACAGTGGGTGGGGGGGGGGGGGTGGGGAATCGCACCGACCTGGTCCCAGGCCGAGACGACGCCTCCGCAGAACATGAAGAGGTAGCCCATGGCCACGAGGGTGGCCCATATGGTCAGGGCGAAGACTCGGAGGAGGCGCGTGAATACCGCCTCCACGCATGCCAGCACAAAGATGGTCAGGAACACGCCCAGTGCCGTGGCCACCGTCACGATGAACGCCAGGTGATTCTTCACTTCCTGGGAGAAAAAAATATGTATAAAACAACTCGACAAACAAAACGTGGAACCGGAAATCGTGCGCATGCGTGGGTTGTGCAACGCTGTCCATCATTCGCATGCCATAATTTATTACTGGTAATTATTATTGCATTCACATATTTGCTAATAATTTTAGCACTGGTTTGTGTCAGGAGTTTTTTTGCAATGCTTTCATCAACGTGGCTGGTTTCCACTAAGTCAAGTCCCTAATGGCAAAGCAATTTTGTACTATTTTTTGGCACACTTTGCATCATCTCTATGAGCGTCCTTGTGACCCCTCGCATTATGAAGCAATGGGTAGCTAGATGGACAGACAGACAGAGCTTTCAACCTTATCTGAAAATGGAAAAAAATCAATATCTGCATTTGACTTTGATCCATTCTCTAGATGATGCTCTCCTCATCTGGATGGCAAAATTTCAACACATATGGCCTGGAGACAGGTGACTTTTCTCTAAAAGTACTGTAGGGTTTAATGATAGATGACAACTATTTCTATATAGAAAAGATCCCATTAAGACGAGATGTCTTATTTTTATGTTTGCATGCAGTTCATTATCAACAGATCATGTGTGTGCTGGTATATCAGGCACCCACACCACAGCATGTGCCAGGCTAGGTCATCTTTAGATAGGTGTAAGGGATGCTGTGAGTGCACTCAACAGGAATATTCGCCATTGAAATGGATATGGGGTTGTGCCCCATCGGTTAGCTGTCAAGTTGCAACAGCTGACACTTTCAACCGAGAGCTTCGACTCACGTGATTGGCTGCCCGGCTCACGCACCATTGTGTTGAGCCGTGAGTGGGATGAAGCTGATCGGTCAAATTATTTGAAGGGCTCAATGCCTGTGAAATTTCAAATGTAGACTAAGGGCCAGTTAGAGACACATTGGGGAATTATTTAGGGATTGATTGGCTAAGGGGATCGAATCGGTTGAGAAGGTTCGAGAAGGCAGAGGGATGGGTACTTAAGGAATAGGGTACGGGATCTCGGATCTCACTCAGGAATGTAATCGATATGCGTTGTGTTACTGGCTTCAGTGAAAAGCTCTTTGCTAATTATGCTGTTGAGGCCTCCTTTACACTTGTGCAAAAACATTACACATTTGGCCTTATGAGACCCCCACAATGATTGATTGCACAACATTTTGTATTTCACTTGATTTTTTTTAACAATCCTGCTCTGTGGATAAAAAATAATTTCAAGACATCTCAGAAATAGTTATGTGATATCATTATGTTGCCAATTCTCTATCATGGGGTGATGCATTACTCTGAAGTGAATCTTCGGCTCATGAAGCTGATAGCGCATTTAGATTTTCAACTAGAATTTATGTTTTTGTTTTTTAAACAACATAGATTTGAGGAACTAGAGAATCAGGCAATGTCTCTTTCACATATAGCTGTCTCTACATAAAAAAGTTCATTTTTACACAACCCAGCAGCTCTATGGCCTTCGGGAGTGCATACTTTCCGCAGAATTGATTCAGGAAAAGCACCAGTCTGGACTGGTTTTGACACGTGGCGTCTCATCGGCAGAGTCGGAGTTGCTTCCGAATCAATACTGACTAACTGCCAAGATGTAATTGGTGAGGACCCTCTCTTAAAGATGTTGGTCTTATTTTGACGAAAAAATGACGAAATACATAACACAAAGTAATTATGAGCATCGTTGTGGAGACTACAAGTAGCTAAAGCAGATAAGTTTAACATGTAGTAGGCTTTCGCGACCAACATTATCCATAATAGAGATGTTTGGGGTAGATCGCGTACATATAAATGTGTCGTTAACCCTACCACCACCCAACACAGCCAATTAGTAAGATTTGTCACGTGAACAAAACATGCCAATTAGTTACTAGTACAGCAGACCGGATGTGTGGGTATACTCTACAACATACTAGGGTGCTGTACCTGGAACTAATTGGCATGTTTTGTTTACGTGACAAACCTTACTAATTGGCTGTGTTGGGTGGTGGCAGGTTTAACGACGCATTTATATTTACGTGATCTCACTGAAAAACCTCGCTTATGGATAAAGCATACAATACGTCTCCTTCATATATCAGAGGAGAGAGAGATATGGAGATGCATTTGTCTGTTTATCTATGCTGTTACCTGTATATTCCACGAAAGTAATTATTATTTTGTGTTCAGCATTGATGAATGCCACTGTTCGTTCTGAAGAACAAGTGGGAAGGCAGATGCCTATTGTTCCCAAATGTAGGTCACAATCGCGCTGCTCCCCGCAAACACAAAAGACGTCAAAGTGTTGATGTTTATTTTTTAGTTGCTGTTAAAAGAGAGGACATTGCTTGAAGTTAATTTCACACCTGCTGTTCGTGTTGCTTTATTAGATGTTCCACCACCCAGCTGGCTAATGGCATAAGGTAAACGTTGAATTGGCATGATGTATGGATGTATAATGTAGTGCTGTCGTGCCTCACATCTCTCCACTTCGTGTCTCACTGCATATATATCTGCTGAGGCCCACGGAATTAATTAAAAAGCTCTCTGTATTATTTACCAAAACCCTTTTTATTACTGTCATGGGAAAGTAAGGGGGAATGTATTATCAATTGAATAATACTGCAGAGAATACATTCCTGCCACCCCGCCTCACATTTATAGATCGGCAAAAACTCTACACGTTTTTAAACATCCAGCATAATTAGGCATTACCCTGTCTGTCGTTTACAGCACTCTTGTAAAAATAAAATACTCTTGCTTTTAGCAAATGTTAAACTATGAAACTATATATATATAAAAAAATTATATTTTAACAGGTAATGCCCACTGAGCTGTACAACTCTATTTTAGAAGCGACTTGGCTAGCACAAATGATCGCTCAGCGAAGTGGCTTATCGTGTGAAAATTTAGAGCAGCCATATACTCTAAACGCATGTTTCTAAATGTGGAGGGAAAAACCGGAATTCCCGGAGAAAAATCCATGCGACCACGAGTAGAACATGCAAACTCCAAATATACAGGCGTCAGGGCCTGGATCGAACCCATGACCTCCTGCATACCAGGCGAGGGAGAATAACATCTTGCCACCGTGCCCTATCCACCAAATGTTACATTCGAACACCATCTTTTTATTCACGTAATATTTTTTTTTACTTTTATGCTTCAGTTATCTGATCTCAAGAAAACGCGGTAATGGGCTATGCAAAACGCACCTCCAATTAGCGCGGGTGGCTGGCATACGGTGTGAAAGAAGTTTAACATATACATACACATACCTACAAACATGTGCAGTGACTGCTGTCACGTCATGCGTATCTCTTTTGCCCTGCTCTTGTAGCACAGATTAGTACAAACTGAAGACGAAAATTCACTTTTCAAGAATGGGATTAGTTGCATGATGGCATGCATCATGCAACTAGACGTACCAATCAGCATGTAAGCACCCATATCTCCCATCTGAAAGCTCTCAGGCCGGTGAGTGTGCAGGTAGAGAAGATTGATTCTGCTCGTAAATTGCACGTAATCCACCGAGTGTGGGAAAGTCAAAACTAAGAGTTGCACAGAGGTGGCTTCATAAGGTCAAAATGGATGTACCACAGCTCTGTACCAATACGACTGAGAACCCGGGTTTAAATCTGGGCATTCACCTATAACTAAATCGCATCCTCAAGCCTAGAAAGTCGAAGGTATAAGTCCAACCACCAAGGAATGTACAATGTAAACCCTATCGTATTCAATTTGGCCGACAAGATCCAGCTACGGCCGCAAAAAAAGGTTGTGCTTGATTACACTGTAACAAATGTTTATTTTTTATTTTTTGTTCCTGGGTAGTAAGTGTTATTGCCTAAGTCCTTACGCCTCAAAAGTATAGAAAATGGCTATTATTCCCCACAAACTTTGCTTTTGTGACCAGGACATTGATATTTAAAAATCTACCAATTTAATTTTCAATGAGAAAACGTGATGTGCATTTGTGTCATTCTTTCACATAAAGTCCTGGTCACAAAAGCAAAGTTTGTGGGGGAATAATAGCCATTTTCTATACTTTTGAGGCATAAGCACTTAGACAATAACACTTTCCAGCCAGGAACAGAAATCGTGCTACATAGTGTTATCTTGTGATGTCCACTTGTTGCAGTGCCACTTCTTTTTGCTAAGAGGTTTAGTGAAGAGACTGCAGATTTAGTTCTTTGACTTCAATTTACAGGCTCTATTTACCACCGCAGGACAAGACTATGCTTGCAAAAATGAGATCTAAATGGAAATGCATTTTTCTCAGGATACAACAGAGAGAGCAGGATTGGAATATAATTGGGGGGGGGGGGAGGCGTAAACCAAATCACAAGTGTGTGGCGACCTGTGATTACAGATGGTTCCAGAAGCGTAACAGTCTTAGCCCAGTTGCCCAGAGCTGCACCAAAAAAAAACCCCACCAATAAAGTAAAAGAGTGTGTTCAAGCTCCAAAGGGTACATTTACGCAACGATTAACTGTGCTCTGTATCATGTGACCGACATACGATGGACTGTCTCTTTGCAGATCACGACGTTTCATCTGTTGTTGGCTCCCAGAGTCCCTGTAGACTCCAAAAATTACTACTAAAATAATTTCGTTGGTGTCTCCTTCTGCGACCCTTCCCCGATATGACGTCATAGGCGTCTATGACGATCTTAGAATAGTTATTTTTTTCCATTTAATTCTTTGACACGATAGGCACAATTGGGATGTATAGTAATCAGTTACAAGAGAAAAATACATTATTCACTCTTCTTGGTTCTTTCGGTAAAGTCACGTAGAAGGTAAATAATAAAGTAATAAAATAAAACATAATAATATTTTATTTTATCACGTTTTATTTTTATTATTTCGCTTCTACGTGACTTTACCGAAAGAACCAAGAAGATGAATCCCTGCAGTCACGAAAGCTTTTAATAGAAGATTATTCACTCTGTCTGAATGCTGATAGTACAATTGCTGAAAAGAACAACACTAAGATTTGACATGAAAAATAACACTAATATCATCAACTTCCAATTAGTTTAACTATGCAGCACTTCTCTATGGATATACCATCTTGCATTCTGAAAACAAATTCACGATTAAAAAAATATGGCTCACAAATGCTCGTGTGCGTGCACATTTTCCCGACATAGAATCATACCTCCAGTACTCGCAGACAACACACACACACACACACTTTCTCGATGCCGTGAGTATATTGGCGGTCATTGCCGGCGGATTGTGTTAACTTTGGGAGAGCTGCTTATTGGGGTGCCTGTGAAGCTGTGGCAGCGTGGTGGTGGTTGGGAGCGAGCGAGCGAGTGAGCGAGCGGCCGGGTGGTGGGATTCCTCTCTCACCCGTCCGGTGGCGAAAAAGACGGCCAGCAGAGCCACGCACGTCCCCGAGATGATGAGCAGGAAGAAGACGAGCAACGGGAACTGCTGGCTCATGCAGTAGTACGACTCGTAGAGCTGGTTGCAAGCACGCTCCCTGGCCATCTTCGAGCCCTCATCAAGGAAATACCGTCTCCTCCGCCGCAGCATAGTCCCCTTCTGTAGTTCGAGGATCTCACCACTTGTTTTGTACGAACACACGCCGCCTTTTCTTCTTCCCACCCCTTCGTCGCTCTCCCGGCTCCCCCTATGAGACTCCTCTCCACGTCCCCTCGTACTACGATCCCACCGTCAACCCCGTCCTGGCCCTCGTTCCCCCATGCAGCCGCCACAGTGGCCGGATTCGCTGCTCTCCTCGTTCTCTGTCAGCGACGTGCTGGCAAGGGTGGGTGGGGGGTGGCTTTCTTGAGGACGCCTCTGTCCGTGGTTGTCCGGCGATTTATGTGTGTGGCGTTCGCGGACAAAGAGAAGTATTTAGCAGCCAATTCGTCTGGCTCGGTTTTATTAATTTATTTACTTGATGATTATTAAACTTTCAGTCAGGTTTGCAGTGGCACCACGCGGCGTGTTCAGCAAACTTTGAAACTGGAGAGGAGGCCTCCTAAAACGCTCTCCTCCTTTAGCTTCTTAGCAGTGGAAAACATACCGCCGGCTTTGAGTATCATACGCTACTATTAAAACCAGAGTTCCACTTTTTTGCGCGTTCCAACTATTGCTTGCACTGACTGCAAAAGAGTCGTGTTAATATACGTTGATTTTTTTTAATACCAAGACGCGATCTCCATTTTAAGTAAAACGATTTGGCTCACCGTTATAAAACAAAACCCACGCCCGACTGCGGAAACTTTGAAAAGCTGTTCACGAAAAGGAGCACCCGCTCTGAGCTTTTATTCCGTGGCAGTGTTCAATGAAAAAAGTTTCGCCAGCTTTACATCAGATGTGCCATCCTCTGACCATTCTAGCTGTCAGCACGCATCGTTCCCCCCTAGGCTTTCATGAGACTCTTCTTAATTCCACCGTTGTGCAGCATCCTGTTTCTCCATTTGGGTCGCATGTTGAGTCTCTCATTAAACGACTCGATGGTAATTCCAAGTACTTTGTTTATGGAGGTGTATGTGCAATGAAGCCTTCTGCCCACCGACCTTCAGCGGCAATACCAATGGAAACGCTCGTTTTGCTCTCAGTTTGTACTTTCCGTTTTCTTTCTTTATCCCACGCTCCGGTTAAAGGACGCTATTTCCCACGCCTTCCGAGAGGTCCCTGCGTGCACCTGCGAAGGGAAACACGGAGGAAGAACGGTTGTGGATTTGGGACAGGAGGCGACAAGAGGAGGTCGATGGGGTCGAGGTGCACATTCGATACAAAGAGGTGGGAAGGAGGGAGGGTGGGTGGTGGTAGTGGTGGGGTTCGAGGTTGAGGGAAGGGAAGGGAAGCAAGATCACTGCAGAGAAACGGTCAACCAAGGGAGAAAAAAAAACTGCACAAAGAAGCACAGACAATCAGCATGCAAAATCAAGGCATGCAGAACAGAAGCGGGGCTGCCATTTGTCACGCAGCGGGGTGTGGATAGTTGGTTGTGCGCCCAAGCTGGGTGCACATGAGCGTGCATCGGCTTCAGTGCATTAGTGAACACGTATGTCACGAACACGTGTGTGCGTGTGTGCGTGTGTGAACGTACGCGCGCACGCGTGCGTACGTGTGAGCGTGCTTGTGTGGGGAGTGGTGGCGCAGCAGTTAGCGCGCCGTGCTACGATCCCGGCAAGCTGAGTTCGATTCCCGCTCACGGACAACACTAGGTTGACTCAGCCTTAAATGAGTACGTGGGATAGTAAATATCTCTACTAGGGATACAAAGGCGACCGGGTGTGGTGTTGGCCACCCACCCCATTCCTTCATAGGCGCTTGTCAAAAAGTCTGTTAAGACTATACGGGGGGTCTTTGTCATGTGGACATGTGTCCCGGCATGGGGACAATAAGTGCATCGGTTCAGTGCATTTCACTTTGATCTTTACTGCCTAGTTTGGATTCCTGGCCAAGCACAATGATAGCGGCATTGTTGGACCTGAATATGTCCTGGGAATCCTTTAGGTCAAGTTGAGAAGGCCTGCACAAGCGCAGTCAGTGATGTACAAAATCCATGTGCCCCGTGCATATGTGTACGCATTGCTGGATGTACATACATGTACACACAAATAAGCACACATGCACTAAATACCAATCCCCCCGCCCCGCCTCCTTCCAGTACTGGCATGTAAAACTGGAGAGACAAAGGCGGTTATGTGTTTAACGTGACCACATTGTACCCTCAAGTGACACACCGGCCTTCGTAGATTGTCAGCACCGCACATTTGCCACCAGTTTAATTGGTAACAGGGAATGTTTATCGTTGGCATTTTCCCCTTTGCATATATTGTGCGAATGTTCAGGCAGCGATAGGCATAAGATAATTTAAGGTTGCATTTAAACATTCATGCCTTAGTATCATCGCTATGAATTAATGTATGCACTTGTCGAATGCAGTGGGTGCAGTGGTGTACACATTGCATTTTAAATTCAGGTGACGTGGGTGCAATTCCTGGCAATAGGTAATGTGAGCTTCACCTGACAGCTGAAAGTGTCACAGGCTTCCCTGACATTGACTCAGCATCATCACGTGCAGTGTTAACACCACGCCGATAGAGAGGGCCAGGAAAGCACAGTGCTTCCCCTACAACTCCATCATTCACCACGTACGTTCCCATTAATAAGCCACTAACCCAAACAATGTACACGACCAGATTGAGGATTTTTTTGTCACGATTTCTCAAACATCCGTGTTGGCATCCTTGCAAGTAAACGTTGTATTCATTCTGTTTTAATTATACTCGTATTCGATGTCCTGTATGTGTCGACAGATGTACACATTTACATGGACTCGCACGCAAAGAGTTAGCATTGTGTGCAAACTATGTGTATATATAAGACAAAGATCCCCCACATAGCCTTTAAAAGACTCTTGGGGCATGTGCTGTTAGCGAGCAGCTATGAAGGCCGGCACAGCACATGGTGGGGTGAATGGTCACCACCACGCCTGGCCGCCTTTGTATCCCCAGTGCTGATGTTTACACAACGCATCAGGTTTCTTATTTAAGGCTGAGTCGACCAGGACCGGTCCAGATATTCGTCACTAATTTTGGTCGTGAGTGGGAATCGAACGTGGGTTGCCGGGTTCATAGCCCTCCATAGCACGGTGACTTAACCACTGCACCACCGCTCCACTTGCGCACAACCAGTTGTGTGAGGAAAACACACAACCTTATATTGTTCATCTCGGCATTTGTGCAAGCATAATCAGGCCTCTCAGGACACGTTTAGAGATACATTACATTTTTATTACACACCCATGAACATTGTGATTCAGACCCTCGACTAGAAAACACTGTTGCATCTGTCCCTCCCTACCTCCTTCCCACCTTTCCCCTCCCCCCCCAAAAATAAAATTAATCACGGCAGCATCAATTTTATAGCTGCATTCCGCTGTTCTATAATAACATAAAAATAACGTTTGTTTGGGGTGGGGGGAAAGAGAGGGTCGTCTGTTCAACAACAACACTTTCAAGTAATATTCTATTCATTCTGAAGAAAATCCGATTAGATATGATGCTGTTTTTCACAGATGTCCAGTGGGGGTGGGTCAGAAAGTTACAACAAACAATAAAAAAATGAATGGAGTGCAAAGTATATGAAAAAGTAATCAAATCGCTAAAAATAAATACGTCAAAATAGATAAAGAATATGAGTACAAATTGAAAGAGTGCATCAATTACTGCTGATCTTTCAACAAGAAATGCAAGCTTGGGCAAGACAGCAAAACAACAGCCACTGTCCCAGACCACAGCAAGACAACAAACAGTCAACACACAGTCCCTCAATAAAATTGCACATTAAAATGTAACTATGGATACACGGGTATGTATTCAAGTTACAAATCTCATTGGCAAATGTGGTTGTATCCAGCATCTTCTGCTTCAGAATATTTTTTTTACGAAGATGTACGATTTACATTTTTTTATTTAAAGCTTTCGTAACTGCAGGGATTAATATTCTTGGTTCTTTCCCTTCTACCTGACTTTACTGAAAGAACCAAGAATATAGAAGATGTACGATGTTAAGAGAGTAAACAATGATATTCCAAAAAGTTGGTGCTGCGACGGTGAAGGCTTTAATTTTTATTTAAAGCTTTCGTGACTGCAGGGATTCATATTCTTGGTTCTTTCGGTAAAGTCACGTAGAAGGGAAACAATAAAATAATAAAAATATAAAACAATAAAATTCTCACGACGTTTCGACTGCAACACAAGCAATCATCATCAGGTGTGAAAACCACAGCAAGAAAATTTGAAAAAAAAAACCCGCCACTCTTTTCAAATTTTATTGCTGTGGTTTTCACACCTGATGATGATTGCTTGTGTTGCAGTCGAAACGTCGTGATAATTTTATTGTTTTATATTTTTATTATTTTATTGTTTCCCTTCTACGTGACTTTACCGAAAGAACCAAGAATATGGTGAAGGCTTTGTCACCTATTTCATTTCTCGTTCTTGGTTAAGTTAAAAAAGCAATTCGATGGGCTACATCCAACTGCGTCTCATGGGAGGCAGGGCAGGGAGCGACACCACGGCACACCTCCGATTAGCACGGTTGGCTACATATGGAGCCAAAGAAGTTCAACACGCATACATATGTACGTACGACCGGGCAGCCACAGCCCAGCACCAACCACGAGACCCAGGGCAGCCCCAGAGAGGCGGGGTGGCCCACGCGGGGCCCCTTCATGCGTATGTGTATGTGTGGGAGAGGTGGCGTAGTGGTTCACGAATTGCGATTACAATCTCGGCAACCTGGATTTCAATTCCCGGCCATCCATGCACAACAGTGGCAAGTGGTATCTGAACTTGAACTGGGTCCGACCCCATTTCAACTGAACCTTACAAAGTACACGGTCCGGGCGTTTGCATATACCTAGGGGCAACACGGTGGCGAGATGTTAACTACCTCGCCTGGTATACAGGAGCTCGCGGAATCGATCCCGACCATGACGCCTGAATATTAGGAGTTTGTACGTTTCTCTCTCTCTCCCCCCGTGTTTTTTCCCTCCACATTTAGAAACATGCGTTGTAAAGTACAGTGAGGGAAAAAAAGTATTTGATCCCCTGCTGATTTTGTACGTTTGCCCACTGACAAAGAAATGATCAGTATATAATTTTAATGGTAGGTTTATTTGAACAGTGAGAGACAGAATAACAACAAAAAAATCCAGAAAAACGCATGTCAAAAATGTTATAAATTGATTTGCATTTTAATGAGGGAAATAAGTATTTGACCCCCTCTCAATCAGAAAGATTTCTGGCTCCCAGGTGTCTTTAATACAGGTAACGAGCTGAGATTAGGAGCACACTCTTAAAGGAAGTGCTCCTAATCGCAGCTTGTTACCTGTATAAAAGACATCTGTCCACAGAAGCAATCAATCAATCAGATTCCCAACTCTCCACCATGGCCAAGACCAAAGAGCTCTACCAAGGATGTCAGGGACAAGATTGTAGACCTACACAAGGCTGGAATGGGCTACAAGACCATTGCCAAGCAGCTTGGTGAGAAGGTGACAACAGTTGGTGCAATTATTCGCAAATGGAAGAAACACAAAAGAACTGTCCATGCAAGATCTCACCTCGTGGAGTTGCAATGATCATGAGAACGGTGAGGAATCAGCCCAGAACTACACGGGAGGATCTTGTCAATGATCTCAAGGCAGCTGGGACCATAGTCACCAAGAAAACAGTTGGTAACACACTATGCCGTGAAGGACTGAAATCCAGCAGGGCCCGCAAGGTCCCCTTGCTCAAGAAAGCACATATACATGCCCGTCTGAAGTTTGCCAATGAACATCTGAATGATTCAGAGGACAACTGGGTGAAAGTATTGTGGTCACATGAGACCAAAATGGAGCTCTTTGGCATCAACTCAACTCGCCGTGTTTGGAGGAGGAGGAATGCTGCCTATTATGCTTTGGGGGTGTTTTTCTGCTAAGGGGACTGGACAACTTCACCGCATCAAACAGACGATGGACGGGGCCATGTACCGTCAAATCTTTTTTCCCTCACTGTAAGCACTTCATGAACAGTGTTAACCATACAAGGTGTCTTGCTGACAGCAAGTGTGTGTACGTATGGTATAAATGCGTGTGAATGTGTGTATTTTAGAGAGTGATGGCATATAAGCTAGCACACTGCA